ACATGTCTACACAGTATACCTGATACAAGTCTGAACTGTATACAGACAAATTCACACAGTATACATACAAATGTTACAGCATATATATAAGACCGCAAGGTACACATACAAGTCCGCATTTGCGATAAAATTCAGTCGTATAAGCGCCCAATATCAAAGGTGTTACAAGAAAGTAACAAACATAAAAAAAGAAGGAGGAGAGATAAAGTTGACAGATAATGGACAGGACAGAAGGAGCAAACCAGACCAGAACACCTGCCAACCACCCACAACAAAGGAATACCCGTTGTGTTCTATCTCATCATATAAATAAACACGACCAAAAGACAGATTTCAATTCAGTTCTTGTAACTTCTAGCCTCACCTCAAAACACAAAAGAATTCAGTACTAGCACTTTTATCTTTACCTAAAAACACAGAAGAATTTAATGTTACCACTACTGTTTTCACTTTAAAAAAATTAAAGATCAAAAAGAAAGAAAAAAAATGTCAACTAAAATTTGTGAGAGTTAAGAAAAATTTTCTATCATTTTCTCTAGGAAATCTACCACATTTTTCTACAAATTTTGAACTCATGAAAAATTAAACATGATTTATAAAGAAACAACACACACACACCCTAACACAAACACATGAACATACAAACAAACACACACACTAACATACATAAATACACACGCTAACACACTGGCTTCTAACTCTCTGCATAAAGGACACACACAAGCTTTACATTCAATCTAGGCTGCCCATTGAACAAAATTGAATGATTTTTAGCAAGTAATTCTTTAAATTTACCTTTAACATGAGCTTTACAGCACTAGCAAAGCAAATAGGTAAAATATATGTGCCAAAGATTAGAGGTGTTACGACATTTTGAAACATTTCTGAAGACTTATTGTTTTAGTTAAAGATCAGATATGAAATTTCCAGGGACAAACAGTTGTTTTAGATAAAGATCCAATATGACATTTCAGCGGACTTTCTGAACCCTTCCTCCCAACTGAGCCATGATTGCAAATTGAATACGGACAAAAGAGAAAAAAAGCAGCACCCCCCCCCCCCCCCCGCCTGATTATTCATTAAAATTTGTTCTTTTTTTGGTTTTTTCTAAGGGTTGGCTTACCCTGTGAGCTTTGCAACAGACCATGACAGAAATCCTAACGTTCACCCATTAGAAATTGGGACTACGCTGTAAGCACACTCATTTCCAGCTAGAAAAAAATACGTCCATTCGTCCCATGAGATACGACGCTATGACTTCTAGAAAAATACAACACGAAAATGCCAGCTGTACAGAGCCCAAAAGTTTGAACTAAAATTTTAAAATCGCATTTTCTTAATCCATGGTATTGGCAGCATGTGCTAAAGAAACATTTAGTAGGAATTCAAATTCTAAATGTTATAAAAAACAAACAAAAACAAACCACAAAATATCCATAATGTGGGTTCAAATTGTAGTAAGAATGAAACAGTTGTTTTTTTCTCTCTCTCTCGCTCATAAAGTTTCGCTTTCCGGCCGGGCTTAGGACTCTTCACCAACTCGCCGACAACGTGGGGGTTGTCCAAAGCCATTCTCAACAGTTCTCCAATGAACAGTCTTTACACACAGCACTAACACATAGTGGGGTGTATGTGGATGTGTGTGGATATGCAGATAAATATATTATTATATATATATATATATGTATTATATATATGAGTCACGACGTAGTGGAACCAGGCGCTCATCAATTTTTGGGCATATGGGGTTATTTGTACCATTAACCTTCCTGTTGGTGAAAGAAATATCCATCTATGTTGAATAGAAGTCGAAATATTTGTGATTGAAAGAGGTCAGTCAGGAAAACTGAAAATTAAAATTTTTTGTGTGCCTTTAATCAAAGTTTTTCAGTAAAATCCACTCAAAAGTGTGTTTTTAAATGGACATAAAAGGTGTTGGGCAAACCCCCCCCCCCCCCAAAAAAAAAGTAGAAAAAAATTGCGCTTAAGCCAAAAAAAAAAGCAAAAAAAAGCTGATTTCTTCGATTTCATTATTTTGACAAGTGCCAGATTTCATCACGACACATCACATATATGTAAATGCAGCATTCTCCATCACGGACTAATGATACTCGGCCAAGTGTACTCATGGGGAGGTTTGTGATTGTATACCTTTAAACGGACCAGAAAATCTCCAAACGACGCAAATAAGGCCTTTTACGTGGTGAGGCCTCGAGGGGGAGCAAAATTCAGAAAAAAACCAACACAAAACGGTCAGGTTGACTTGGCAACATTAGTTGTTAGACTCAAATAAAAAACACAATTTTATTGCAATTGGTTGCTGTACGTTGCTCATGCTCAAACTGTAGGCCTGAGTTTAGCAGTGCTTACCACCACAGGGCACCTGGAATCAAGGATGTAACTTTTGGAAATCAGGGATGTAACTTTTGGAAATCAGAGATGTTCCTTTTGGAAATCAGGGTTGCAACTTTTGGAAAGAAGGCTGTAACTTTTGGAAATCAGGGATGTAACTTTTGGAAATCAGGGATGTAACTTTTGGAAATCAGGGTTGTAACTTTTGGAAATCAGGGTTGTAACTTTTGGAAAGAAGGCTGTAACTTTTGGAAATCAGAGATGCTCCTTTTGGAACGAGGGATGTAACTTTTGGAAATCAGGGATGTAACTTTTGGAAATCAGGGATGTTTTTTTGGAATGAGGGTTGTAACTTTTGGAAATCAGGGTTGTAACTTTTGGAAATCAGGGTTGTAACTTTTGGAAATCAGGGTTGTAACTTTTGGAATGAGGGTTGTAACTTTTGGAATGAGGGATGTAACTTTTAAAATTCAGGGATGTAACTTTTGGAAACTACTAAGCCCAACATTGGGACTTTTCAAGAAAACTTCAGTCTCTTAATCAGTGGTATCGGTTGCATGCTGCTCAAGAAATGTTTCGTCAAAATTGAAATTCTAAATATGGAGAAAAAAAAAAGAAAAAAAGTAAAGTTGTTCCACCCATCCGATCCGGACAGTGGGGATTGCCATGTTAGCGAGACAACTTCCTGGGCCTTCGGCATAATCAGGGATGTAACTTTTGGAAATCAGGGATGTAATTAAAAAGCAGCAGTTCCCTGTTGCCGTTCAGGCTCAGCTAGGAGCAGGACATTGATGAATCAGCCCATTTACAATTCTACTGTGCATAAGAACATGGTCAATGCCCCCTCCCCCCCCCCCCTTTGGGAATGGCCTAAAGACAACTTCAGTCAGTGGCACCACCCCAGGGGGAGTGACGTAGACTGTCAGGGTTTGGTCGTTTATCTATTCTTCTCCCTTTATACACCAGGAAAGTTGGCAGTAGGTTTAGGCAGTCAACGTTTGAAAAAAAAATGAGAATCAGGGGTATTACGATCGTATTTCACAAAATTGAATAAAAATCGTAACGATTCCGCCAAATTCATAATGATGGGCAGCCCTGAAACCCACCTTTCAATTATTAGCACAGAGTCTAAACACACACACACACAGACAAACATATTATACATGTGTACTTGTGTATAAAAAACACACACACACACAAACAAAACAATAACTATTATGCACACCTCCCAACAGAGCACTAATCGCCTCAGAACTATCAATTTGCCCAAATTGCCTCTTTACTAGAGTACACTTTGTTTGGGCAAAATAGTTTTGAGGCAACGAACTGGAGACATTATTAGTGTTAGTAGTGGGACTTAGCAACTTCGACGAAAGCCTGGTCAAAGAAAACTCAAACAACAAACTAGAGTGCCAGCAGTGCACCAAAACAAAACAAAACAAAAACAAAAACATTATGTGGTTATGTGTACAGGTCTAGCGCTGAGTGGCAACTTCTTTTCTTGTTGGTTTAAAAAAAATAACTAAAAATTAATTTTTAAAATTTTTTTTTTAGCTCAAAGCAGAAAAACAATACCTTCAGCTGCTGAAACAAAGGGGTTCCGTTAGTCTGAGATGTGAACATTTTGTGATGTCTTCTGATCAATGGCAGGATGGAAGATGGTTTGGGGTTTCTTGTCATTTTTTTGTGAAGAGAGGAGGAAGAATGGCCACGAGGAGGAGGAGGATGGGAGGGGAGGGGGAGGAGAAGAAGGGAGGAGGAGAAAGAGAAGGAGGAGTAGGAGTGGGGAGGAGAAGGGAGGAGAGGGGAGGTGAGGAAGGAGGAGCGATGAAGGGGTAGGACACACACATCCCAGACAGCAACAGACAGACGTGTGCACAAATGTCTGTTGGTTTGTCTGTCTGTTTGAGAGAAGAGGTTGACATCCAAACGACAGCTGGGGCAGAGCAGGAGCAAGGAAGACAGTCTGCGTCGTGAGATTGACAGAAGAAATAAGAGAGTGTGAATAAGAATAAGAAGAACAGACCAGCGGTTACCCCCTCCCCCCCGACAAGTCTGCACGACAGACTGGTAGAGCAAACAGACAAGCCAACTGACAATCATACGAAGCAAACAAATAAAGAGATAATCGCATAAACAAACTGACAATCAAACGAAGCAAACAAACAAACAGGCGGGCAAACAAGCCAGGCCAGAAAAGAAAAAGAGGCACAACAGACAGACCGAGAGAAAGACAAACAGACAGTTTAGTTTTAGTAAGAGTTTTACGGCACTGGCAAACACAAATAGGTCATATAAGTGCCGAATATTAAAGGTGTTACTTGAGAGTAACTTACAAAAAAAAAAGAAAAAAAAAAGGAGAGATAAGAACTACAGATGAACAGACAGGCTGACAATCAGAAAGACAATGGATAGACTCACAGGTAAACAAAACAGACTGAGAGATTAACAAACAAGCAAAAAAAAAAACAAAAAAAAAAACAAAAACAAAAAAAAAAGAAAAAAAAAAGAGGAAAGATAAGAACTACAGAGGAACAGACAGGCGGACTAACAGAAAGACTCACAGGCAAAATAAACAAACAGACAGACCCCTCAAAAAAGCAAACAAACAAACAAACAAACAGACAGGTAAAGAGCGAGTGACGTACCGGCAGGTCGCAGGCAGAGTCCAGGAACACCATGAGTATGGCCGCGTGACTTTTCTCTCTCTCCGTGTTCTCCTCGCTCACCTTTTGGATAATCTGGGGAAGTTTTTAAAAGTCTTAGTAAGAGTTTTACGGCACTCGCAACACAATAAGGTTATATAGGTGCCGACGCTTAGAGGTGTTACAATAGAGGGGGAAATAAAGACGATAGATGTTTGATAGGAAAGAAGAAGTATACCACAACAGAGCACTTGCCAACCACCCACAATCTGGGGAAGTAGACAAGGGCTGGCTGGTCCCACTTAACATTTTGCCGCCTCACATCTCGCTCGCCGATCGGCAAGAAAGCAGAACTTCATTTACGCTCCCATCACAAAACGCCGATTGGCGCGTGATGTTTACGGTACCACCCAGTTTCTTTGGAT